TCTGCAGCCGCGCCTTCTCGTGACCAACGGCGCCAACAACACAAAAAGCTGGCTGTGCAACTTCGCTTTGCTTTGCGCGCTGCCAGACTACAGCTCGGGGGGGGAGGCATTTCGTTCTCGAACACCCGCCGGGCTCCGTCCTTTGGCGTCTTCCTGGTGTTCGAGCCCTCGCGGCGGACCCTCGCTGCCGTCAATTTTCGCTCGACTTGGGGCGCTTTGGCAGCAAAACGGCCGATGGCATGCGACTTCGGCTACCCTGGACTAGGCTGGTTACCTCGAGCCAGGCGGTGGTGCATGAGTTCCGACGGGACCGAGTCGACGGCCAGCCTCCCAGGTTGCAGCTGGACGTCCGCGCCTTCCCCAAGCACTTCTCCGAGAGGCTCGTCGCGGCGATGGAGGACGAGTTTGACGCGGAAACCTGCCGGCTACAGAGTGCCAGCCGCGCCAATGAATGCTTTGAGGTGTCGGGCGCGGGTGGCGCCGTTGACTTTGTGCAGGAAGCCTTGGTCCAGGAACCCGGGCTGGAGGGCGAAAGCGAGACCGAGGATGAGAATGAGGAGCCCTTCGTCGGTGAGATCACGCCGGCGATCCGAGCTGCGGTTCGTCGGGTACATGAAGCGACTGGCCACCGACCTCCGAAAAGACTTGCCCGGGCCCTTCTACTTTCAGGAGCGCCGCCTGCTGCTGTACAAGCTGCCCGGGAGCTCCGTTGTGACGTGTGCCTGGAACGCAGCCGCCCTAAAGCTCGAAGAGTCGCTAGCCTACCTGCTCCGAGGGCTGTTGGAGAGCGAGCTCACTTGGACCTCCTCATTGTCGAGGATGCGCTCGGGGAGGCCTTCGTTGTCGCGCACGCCACTGACTCTGTGTCTAAGTACCAATTGGCGGCGCTGATCCCCGACAAGTCCTCGGCGGCGGTTATCGACTTCTTGCTCCGACTGTGGTGGCCGATTCTCGGAGCTCCCCGTCAAGTTGTGGCCGATCAAGGCAGGGAGTTCGTGAGCGAAGAGTTCCAGAACTTTTGTTCGGCGCACTCGACGCACCTCTGGCACTGTGCCGTGCAAGCTCCGTGGCAGAACAGCCCTGCGGAGCGGTCCGGGGGAGTTTTGAAGACCCTGGTCGCGGCCCTTGTCTCAGAGCACGTGACCATCGGGAACCGCGACATGGCCAATGTTGTGGCGGAGGCGTGTGCAGCCTACAACGCGGACATCAACGAGGAGGGGGTGTCTCCGTTGCAGTGTGTTACCGGGCGCCAGCCTACCTCCCAGGGCGCTGTGCTGAACAACTTTGCTGGGCGATTGGCGGAGCACGGCCTGATCGACTCCGAGCCGTCCTTGCAACAGCGCCTGGCCTTGAGAGAGAGCGCTCGTGTGGGGATGGTTCGCCTCCACTACTCCAAGGGCATTCGGCGAGCCGAGTTGGCCCGAAGCCGGGAGCCGGCCATTCTGCGCCCGATTCAGGCAGGGGACACCGTCTACTTTTGGCGGGCCCAAAAGGCCAATCGTCGAGGCGACCCTCGAGTTTCGACATCGAGCCGGCGGAGGCGCTTGGAACTTCGACGCTGGCATGGTCCTGCCATTGTTTTGGCACTTGAGCGCAGTTCCGACGACAGTGCGGTGAGCAACGCAGGTGACAAAGTGTGCCCTGGAGCATGTTCGCTTGGCTTCGTCCCTGGAACAACTTTCGGCGGGAGCCTGGGAAGCAGCAATCAAGGAGCTCACGGAGGGCAACGACACTTCCCTTCAACAGCTTGGCTCCGCGGCGGCCGACACCATTCCCGAGGAGGAGGCGGAGCTCGTCCACGAGGAGCCCGCTTTGGTTCAGCCGCCTTCCGAGCCCCCTGGTGCAGAGGAGCTGGCGTTACAGTCGACGGCCGCTCCGGGAACTCCTGTCGGTCAGCTGCTTCAGAGGCCGGTGATTCAGAGAGCCCTACAAAGAGCTCAAGATCAACCCTTAGAACTCGCCTTGGGGCGGCAAGCCTTGGCGCG